AGCCCCGCGCCCAACCCTCCCCCTTTCTCATCCTGGACTTGGGACCTAGGCAAAGGCGGAGGTTGGCATGTTTGGTGTGTACGGGGATTCGAACCCGCAACCCTCAGATTACGAGTCGAGCGCCCTAACCACCTGGCCATGCCGGGCCCTAACCACCTGGCCATGCCGAGGTCCTAACCACCTGGCCATGCCGGGCCTGGCCATTGAAATATCAGAAGGGAAATGTGGGCACTGGGTACTGTAAGGAAATTCAGTTTATGCTTCTTGGGTCGTAATCTCGTACGGCTGTTTTTTTTTAAGTTAAGCACAAAGCTACACAATGGGCTATCTGTGCTCTGCTCTTCACGGGTATCGAATTCCGGTTTCTAGCGTTGTAAGTTCGCAGACATGCCGCTGTGTCACTGGTGGGGAGGGGGCTCGTACGGCTGTCACTGAATAAATAAACTTCTTGATTTCATATTGCTAGTATAATTCAGGTTTTGAATACAGAGGAAACATTTAAAGCCTTAGTACGCCCCTTTATGCAAATCCATTGCTACCCAAATTATCTGAATAAATCTAGGTTTTTCGATGGCTTTGACGAAAATCTGCTTTCTTCACACAGCTCCATTTATTCTTTCCTGACGAAAGTCTGCTTTCTTCACACAGCTCCATTTATTCTTTCCTAACGAAAGTCTGCTTTCTTCACACAGCTTCACTTCTTCTTTCATAACAAAAATCTGTTTCATACTAGGAAATCGAGCAGGTACGGATATTTATTTAATCTGTGTATTTCAAGAATATGTCTAGAACATTAAGTACGCTTTAATATGAAGGATTGGTTTTAAAGTATATTTAATCCTCTCATGCATATCTATAGAATGACATTTTTTTAACGAAGCTTTAGCTATGTAACACAAATATATTGACGTACATAACAAAAGTAGACTTATCAGATTTTATATCGTTTGTCTTGTAGAAACGGGATAAAAAAAGAACAAGTTTAATAACAAACTGGACACATTGATTGACATCTTACTGTGACCTTTTTAGGTGACTGAATATATGGAGTGGCATCTTATTAATCAGACTACTAACTGAGTGGGCACCTTTAGCAACATATTGTAAATCTTATAGTTAACTATCAGTGCCATCTTATGTTTAGTCTCATATTTGTATCGACACATTATTGCATTTCGTAATGTGTATCATATATCTCATAATTGACAGGAATCCTTTTTTTAATTAATTTTATTAATGAATTTATATTAGTTTATTCTATGTGTTTCTCCATCAAGACACACGGTAGTGTGTCGTGCAGCCAAAACAACTTGCAGGACACCCTATGTGTTATTAACAGAAGTGATAGTTTAGCGATTTTCCACTTTATGTAACTAGGACTGATGTACTCCCCACTATCACATATTATCAGTAAGTGTGCTCTACTGGACTATTACTTCACCTACCAAATTTCAAGGCAATACATAAAGAAATAAATGAGATATAAAATCTCCAATTTTGGATTAAATTTTTTTTTCGTTTTTTGTTCACATCGAAAGTACGGAAACTTTATTTAATAAAAAAAAACATGTTTACTTTATGGATTTGTTTTTAAACTCAGTACCCTGATAGACCTATACAACATACAATTAGGTGTCAAATTTGGTCTAACTATAAGCCACATGTGCAAAGTTATTTAACAAAACCTCTCAAATTTGACCAAACTTTTTGCGCACGCCTACGCAAAAAAGTCACGTGAGCTATCAGTCTTAAAATTTTTACTACAGCTTCACCTAAGGAAATTTTTTATTTTTGTCATTCGAATTCGAGACGGCTAATTAAGAGCAGTAAAACTACAAGGTGAAAGAACGTGCAGATACACAAGTATTGGTTAGGCCAAACAAACTAGATTAACAGTTTCTAGCTCGAATTTGGATCATATGGGTTGACGGCTGTTATTTATTATTCATTGCCAACTTTTACTACATTTTATGAAATGCTAATTAAAGAGCGTTTAGCATCACTTGATATTAGCTTAAGCAATTAGCGTGTAAATAATGATGTTTGATACCGCTGTACCGAATGCATGTGGGTGATGACAAGAATCTGTTAATCTATATTCCATGGCATTACTAAAAAGTACGTTATTAACACGGTTTTAGAGAGGAAAACTACCACCATATATTCAAAATATCTGGTTGGTTCTGTAAAGTATAGATCTGTTCCGAATAATACCGTTGCGATCCTAAAGCTAATACTGGTTACTATCGAATGTCACTTTCTTACTTGCTGTGGTTTATTGGTGTGTACTGACAAAAAGTTATGATATCTAATCAAAAACACCTTACGTGTGAAAAAAAATGTGCGGCCAGAAAAAGGATTGATCGTGCGACTTAAAGGAAAGAAACAAAAATTGGCGGACAAGCTGGTAACTACACTTATAGCATTGATAAGTATTTCACAGCAAGTATTCATTTATTGGTAAGCTAGGCCGCACCTTTTTTTTTCACACCTAAGATGTTTTTGGTTAGATATACTTAACAGTTATACATCTTCTTTGTAAGACGTAGAGTCATGTTTGAAAACCAGTGACACGTTTCCTTCTTAAGTCAATATTATCTCTAGAAATCAATGTGATACCATCCTTATGAGTTAGGTATTTGCAGATAAAATCCTTATCCATATTGCATATTTGTTTTGATTGGCATTTCTCCACAAAATATTTTTGCATATATACTATTTTATCTCTTAAACTTCTGTACAACTTTCCAATATATAATGATTGCATTTTCCTTAATTTCTACTATCCATGCTCCTAGCTAATGACAAATTTACCAGAATGTGTGGGATTAATACTTTTAAAGTAATAGAACACATTAGCAATATAAGTAAAATATTTCAAAATTAATGTAAGAATTTAGTGTTCTAAATTCTTAGAACCATTGTAGAAAGTGGCATTATTACTTAATGCATTAACCTTCAATGTTTAAGAATTAATTTCTGTGTTATCGTTGCGAGAAGATCTTTCAACTAAACGTTTACTAATTAAACCAGTTTTTACTATCATGACCTAGATTTTTATTTATTTTTCGTGATTTTGAAGTTCAGACAAAGACACTCATCTGTGTTATTACTTTCAAAATAAAGTAAATAACTGTTTTTGTTTTCAAGACTTTACTGCGGTTGACATTTTGAAAATTAGTAAAAAAAAAAAAAATTAGAGTTCCTGTACTCAAAACAACAACAACAACAAAAACAAAACATCTTTATTATTACCTAAGGACCTGGCTTATTATCTCATGTCGTTTCAGCGAGTAAATAAACTCACGTCAAGTTTGTATTTTTAGCGAAAGCCCACCATATTTACCCTGGCGAGAAAAGCTCTTCAGTGGCGTATCAGGATGAACTTGGGGAATATAAACACAACACACTTTAAGCTGCTTCTAAGTCTTATCTGAAATTACGCAGCATGTCTCCTCTGGTTGCTTAGAATGAAACCTGACAGAAATTACGTTCCCAAGAGAACAAAACCAATTCATCTAAATAAAAGCTGATGCGGAAGCTAATGATACACGGCTAGAGTGCTTTTTGCGTTAGGAAAACGACCATGGATAATTTAAAGATTTAGCCCCCGGGAAAAAATTACTGTTGCTGTATTGTTTACCAGTTTTCTCGGTACTGTGTTAGAGAAATAAAAACACCAGTAAACCCATCTGGGACTCAGAGAGTAGTTAAATATGGACAGCCAATTTGCTGGTTAACCAAAGAAAGTTTTGTGAACACGTGACTGTTACATCTTCAGGTTGAAACACGGAAATGAACATAATTCAATAAAGGATATTTTTCCGAAATTTTTTTATGGGAGCCAGTTTCTTTGTACATAAAAGTAAAGCTGCGAACATGGATTTAAAGTTGAGAATAGTTTCAAATACATATTTTAGTTTGAGACGCTAGTTTCATACTTTGGACAGAATTAAACAATTTTTCTATCAAAATATGTATAGGGACAGTTGAAACAAATGTAGTCAATGATGGACTTTCTGTCGCAAATGTATTCAGCTTACTGAAGGCCCAGCATGGCCAGGTGGATAAGGCGCTCGACTCACAATCTGAGGGTCGCGGGTTCGAATCCGCATCCCACCAAACATGCTCGCCCTTTCAGCCGTGGGGGCGTTATAAAATGACGGTCAGTCCCACTATTCGTTGGTAAAAGAGTAGCCCAAGAGTTGGCGGTGGGTGGTGATGACTAGCTGCCTTCCCTCTAGTCTTACACTGATAAATTAGGGACGGCTAGCGCAGATAGCCCTCGTGTAGCTTTGCGCAAAATTCCAAAACAAACAAAGCTTACTGAAAAGTTGATATTGAATTAAGTAAGCCATCGGCAAACGTATGTTTGTCACTTTATGGCGTACGTTTCAATTTTAGTAAATGTTATCAATAACTGAAACTATGAATAAATATATCATAACACCCAATGATTTTCAAACTGGTGGTTAAGAAATGAGCGAAACTGAAACATAAAGCCAAATCAAAATACTTTCATCTTTCTAACAAAAAGCCAAATCTGCTTGAATAACGATTTTTTCATTATTATAAAATTTGGTTAATAATATTTTCGATGTAAAGTAAATACGTTTGTTACATTATGATTAATATACAGTTTTATAAAAAAAAACTATATAACCCTAGCTCTTATATTGAAACATGCTATGAATTACAAATAACCTAATTCTATATTCTAAAAATAAACGTTTGAATTTGAAGTAATTAAAGTGTGTGTGATATAATTAATGTATCTCTGACGTGTTTATCTGAAGGTTAAATTCATCGTATGAAAACATAATTTACCGAATTATCGACTGGTGGGGCATTTATAAGAAAGTGAATTAGAATTACGAAAATGCATGATTTCTAAAAAAAAACCACTTGTGTTTTTAGCTAGCATGTTCAAATTTTTAAATTTCTCTCATTTGAAGATAATAATCTCTAGACGAAAAATTAGAACACTTTCATAAATCTGTGGTCGTTAAGTATACGCGATGCTTGTGTTTGTGGTTCTGGAGGCTGTCTCTTTCTCAAGGTTTGGCTGGCGTTATTTTTCTTTTTTTAGTCACCGGGAAGTAATTTCCCCGAAAGGAGGCCGAAGGCCGCCTAAAGGAGTCACCTGTTTTAATCATTCGCATTACTATATAGTAGTTTGTTGTCTGTCAGTCAGTCAGTAGACACTAAAACGACCTCACATAAGGGACGCTTAACGTTGCAATTTGTACTGTAGTGACGTCAGTAAAACGTGCGTATGCCATGAATCACGAGAAGATTTATGCACTCTGTTGGCTACAACACAGCATGCCATATGAACTTCAAAAGAAATAAATAAAAATATTTGTTACTCTTAATTCTGGTTTCATTTGCTTTTGAAACAGAACACATTCGGGGACCCTGCAGCAACACATCTAGCTTAATAACCGATTTGCACCTGTTTGAATCACCCTGACACAAGGAGAGGAAGTTAGCGATCGATTAAATGGACTGTGTTTGTTGTTAAGCACACAGCTACACAATGGGCTATTTGTACTGTGCCCATCACCGATATTGAAACCCGGTTTGAGTGTTATAAGCCGTCAGATTTACCGCTGAGCCACTGTGGGCACTTTGAATTTACCGTTTAGTTATAAATGCTAATTTCTTTCTTTTTTTAATTTAAACGTTTCAGTTGTATCAGTAAGGCTTATTTTTGTCATTATGGCCCATGGAAACTTCCCTGGT